TAGCCGTGAAAATGGTCTGGGGCAGAGACAAGCAAAGTCCTACTACGTGAATGGGACTCATGTGCTTAAGGACTAAAAACTGTGTAGGTTGTGGTGTTTGGTCAGCTGTACACTTGAGTGATCACATGAGCTATGGCCACACTGACAGGAAGGGGCAGGAGAGAAGATGAGAGAGACAGACAAAATATCGATCTATAAGAGAGCACAGAAACAAAGTGCCTATGGGGGTAAAAGCAATAATATCAACTAAAGCATACAGTGTGCACCCTGAGTTCTGGGCAGGTGCCAGGGTCATATACAAACAGGGCAGCCACAAAGGCGAACAGGACAGGAGGAAACACAAGTATGTTTGCTTGCACTGAATCTGAGAGAGCCATTGCTATCAAAGGCCAATACAGGAGCAATGTCACAAAGTACCAGAGACAGGGAGGTTGCTGGGACTTCCTCCAGCCACGGCATGTGTATGCACAGGCACATGTGTCTCCACACAGTGTATGCACATAACATACACAAAAAATACCATTAAAAAAAAAAACCCTGTCTTTGCAGAGCTATTGAGTGACACCCTGTCTTCATGAAAATAAACAATTACAACAAGAAGGGAAAGACTGAGAAAAGTCATTTATTTAGGTTGAACCACACAAAAACATTTGACTCCCCCCCAAAAAACAACCAACCCCCCCCCCAAAACACTAACTTTAAATATTAAATACAATTCATAGAAACCAGTGTAAGATTTTACAATTATGGATTCTCTGCCCCTGCCTGAATTTAAACAATATACCCTTCTTTTTGAAAATTTAAATCATATTTCTATGGTTTTATATGCATATTAATCACATACACATAAAGTCATGGAAAAATATGATTTTAAATAAAATAAAATTGTGATAAATCAAAGGAAAAATTCATTTTAATAAGCTACTGAATACAAGCAGTTTTATTCTTAACAGGCATTTGGTACCGAGTTTACACATGTATTGTTTTTAAGGGTTTTGGGGATCAGTATTCTAGTCTTCTAATTCCCTGTAATTATCAGGGCAATGTTCTATGAAAAAAAAGATACTGTGACTTACTTTACCAGAAACAGAAACTTGTTTGTATTCCCCATTCTTTCATGGAACTTTAGCAAATAGCAATTTCTAAAACTTTTTTGCTGTGTGATTATTATACAAATTTTGGGCTGGGGGTAGCAACTCTCAGAATTCCTTACATGTTTTTGGGGACCATGTTTATACACACAAAGATTTAATAACAAAAATGTGCCCTGGCCCTGAGATGAACATCTCTTCATGCCAATCCAATTTCATCAACCTTCCCTCTTTTCCATCCCCACCAAAATTATTTCTATTGAAAATGTATTTCAGGGGAAGATGGATTGTTTTAATTTGGGCCTCTACATCCCAGATGATCCTATTTCACTAAGTATCTGTCTGTCTGTCTTCTTGTTTTGTGTATCATGATGATGTGTCTGCATGTGGGCACACACATGCCACAACACATGTATGGAGGTCAGATGATAGATAGTTGGTTTTTCTCCTCTGTGAGTTCCTGGGGTCAAATTCAGGTCATTAGGCTTGTTTTGCAAATACCTGTAGCCACTGAGCATTCTTGTTGGCCCCTGCTGAATTTATTTCCACTTTGTATTCATATATACTCAACCAAATATCCAATAGCTGACAGTCTTGTTTCTATTTTTTATGAAGGGGATGGAAACAGATAGCCTGGAGCACACTGCCCATGCCAATCACCAGTGAATTAGCTTGCAGCCATACTTACAGCTAAAACTCATAAAAGCTAACCTAACAGAAGTGTCAGATAAAGAAGATAATAGCTATTGCTACAACTGGGAAGCTTTCATGAGTAAAGCACTTCCATGGCTACTGCCCAAAACTGCAGAGCCAAACAGAATGTTCACACATACAAAGTGCCTGCGGTGCATGCCTAAGGACACTGCCACAGGCAGAACGTACCACAGAGGTTTTTATTACTTTCTGTGGGGCTATGATAAACTTGTGGTCAAAAATAACCAGAAGTCTGTTCTTTAAAAATGAGAGGGAAATAGCTATATGTTGTTATTTCTTGTTAGCTAATAATTTAAGTCAGTTCAGTTAGTACAGAATGGTGTGGATATGCAGACTTCATAGGTACAAGGACACCCATGTGATTCTGATGCGGAAACCCAGCACAATTCTTGCTTTAAGTAGTCAGAAGGGTGCGAATGTTGCAACCCAGTAACTTCAAATTTCTAACAGAACGAGTCTTCCTGTTTTCTTTGACCATTATTTTTAGTTTTCCTATTGTATGTGGATGTTTTGAATATGCTTTGTCTCTTATACTTTGTAATTACCAAAAGCATATAGTCATTAACACATTTAAAAAAATCTGGTTAAGAATACTTTCTAAATTATGAAAATTTCAAATATTTTCAGCTTAGTCTCTTTTTAAATGAGATGAAAAAAAAAACACAGGAGTAAAAATGGATGAATTTTATAAATTCTTTTAAAAGTAGTAACCATATCTCCCAAGCACTCTCCAGGGTCCAGGTGAAGAAACCGTCAAGCCACTGACACCCCCAGAGAGTAATACCTCAGGTCCCACAGGTCTCTGCATCTTCTTTTACTTTTCCCAGGTAGAGAATAGTTTGAAGTTCGAGTGTTAAAAACAAATTGCTGACCACCTATGTCTATGATGCTGCAACAAAACTCATACACAACAGCTGGGCTTTGCTCACCCATGTGCATGGCTCCTCTCACTGGGTGGATAAGTCTAACAGAACTACTATGCAAATGTAAGCTTTTTTCCCCTGTTCTTGTCATTGACCCTGCTTGGTAATCAAGCTGACACAGAAACATTAAGCTATCTGACCTTGGGAGTCCATCCCTCATATGGTGAGAACAGGGAAATGATGTAATGAATTTCCCAAGACTCCCAACACTGCTTTTTACTAACCATTATTACAGGCCACACACTAAGCCAAGAAATTTAGAAATATACTCCATAATTTTTTGAAGCCATTTCAAGAAGTTCCAACATCAGATGGCTCAAAAGAAAATCAAAGAAATACTGACAATAAAATGAACTTTCTGTATAAAGTCACACTCCCATGAAATAAAAGCAAATTAAATCAGGGGTCCATTTGCAGTGAAGAATTCTATTTAAAGGTTGACAGAGCCATGACTTATTCAAAGCTTGTTACCAATAGTCTTCCTCTTCCTCTCAAGGCCTTCTGTGTCCAGGTCAGATGCCCGTCATACTCTCCTCGAGACTATTTTCTTGGTATCCCACATCCCATACACCTAGATTCCTTCTTAACCATTGAGTCTTCCTGTTTTATTGATAAATTTGTGTGTCACAGGTACAACTTAAACCCCTCTCCTCTATCTATCTCTACTCTCCTGATGTAATTTAATCCAATTGGTTACCAAGCACAGTTGAAGACATCATCTTTATATTGAAGATTCTCAACTGATACTTCGGTTGTATAGGTTTGCACCCAAATGGTTTCCTGATACTTGCAGACATATAGGTAACTCAAAAACAGTCTAAAAAAAAATGTCTGCTCTCTCTACACCTCATTCCAAACAATGTAACACAGACACACTCAGCTAGCCCTCAGAGGGGAAAACAATTCTTTTCCCCCACCCACACTCCCCATAATGTGGTATTTTTCTGCCTTCAAACAATTCTATCCACACCAATTCTATTCAGCAACCTTCACATTAACCAGTCTACCTCTCCCTTTCAGGGTGATAATCCATCATCTACGGCTCCCA